ATTTAGTTCAGAGAAGTTGCCCTCAAACTTGTTCAGATAAATGTGTCAATATTTTGTTTTACTTATCTATATCGTATTTTTTTTTATTTTGTTTTATTTGAACAAGAGCATATCTTTAGTTAAAAGGTAGAACTAATAAGAATCTTGTCTTTGTTTTTCTTGAATCAGCTTTTAGCTATGGTACTTGGCGGTAATTCGTTATTTAAAGCAAAGTACCAATAGAAACGAAGTACTCATTTGCACTCTGTTTTAGATTTCCGTTAAAAACGCTGATCAGAGATGTTCATTGCTGTTGGGAATTTGCCATTGTCACGATCCTTTTCGAGAAATTCTTTGACAGTCACTTCTGATACTATGCTAAATTTACACAATTAGATTAAATACATCAGATTCACCAAGTTTCTGATTGTTCAACTTGTAGATGCACAAATTGAGTACAAATTCATACACTTTCACAATCTTCCTAAAAATGATACTGCCGCTGTCATTGCGACGGCGGTGGCAGTACCACCAGGGATACCTCTGCTGTATATGAATAGTCATTTATAGATTACTCAAAAAGATCTATGTTGCATGTTTGGTGGTACTATCATCGATATATTGAACTGTCTATCGATAGTTTCCCAGCAATTTTTGTCTAATAGTCCACTTAAGAACAGATTAATAAAGCTTATGAATATCTTATCTATAGTGGAAGTACTATTTGGAGGCTAAGTACTGTAACGTTTCAAGTTACAAACTCAGTTCAAGATACTAGAGATTTTTGAAATTACTCTGACGTGAATGTTTGAGATTAGAAAACTCTATTGCAATATCTCGATTCTGATAGAAAATAAAACAACTTCAACAATTAAAATATCGAATTTATATGTCACCGTTCAATCTAAGATTCGCCTAGGTCATTCGAATACTTGAGTTTGAACTAGTCCAAACTTGGAGTGAACAAAAATTTTAGGTCAAAACTCAATTTTGACCCTCAAATCATCCTTTAATTGAGAACTTCTTATTCATGAGCTACAAAAAATTGATGGCACTTGCTTTTATAATATCTGATTAAAAAGTCAAAGCTAAATGGAACAAGTTTGACGTATTCTTATGTAGAAATAGAAACTTAACGGAGAATATTTTTTTTTTCAAAAATATTGAAATCAAATTTTCATGATCAGCTGGCTATGCACCAAAATATTATCATCGCATCGTAGTTCATCAAAAATAAACATTCAAAATCCAACTTCAATTTCAGATTTTTGTTCTATATAATTTTGGACTAGCTCAAACTTGGGTCTTAGATTGGACACTAACATATGCATGAATGTTTATTATAATTCTTAAAACCAGTTAGTTTTCTGCCTATTTTTTTTATTGGTTGCTCGAAGCGCTAGTACTGGCTTATTGTGTTGTTTTTTCAAGGTTTCCAAGATTTTAATGATCAAGATATATAAGCCTGGAAGTTCCAAGTGACAAATTTCCAGTTGTTATCAAAATCCCAACTCTAAATATTGAGCTAAAACTTTCTCATCATCCGATGAGAACTTCGGATAATGCGAAATGAATATATTATGCTCAGGAAAAGTTAACGAGATACTAAAAGATAATTTCGATCTAAGCTAAAGGTTGTTTTAACCTTGAAACTTCGAACGCTCAAAATCCAAATAGCCAGTAGTTTTCAATTCATGCTTTCATGCCTAAAGAGCATCAAAACTTCGTTCTGTTGTCGAGATTTCATCAGATACTAGCATCATGCAATGATAAAAATATTGAGATATTAAGAAACATTAAAATAGAAAGTCGAGTACAAAATCCGTACATTTTAGCTTACATTATCTTTCTATCAACAATACTATAGTTTTACGAGTTGAGATGCCTTTCAACTGTGTTAAATGATTATTTCAAATAAGAATAGATCAAACATATCAATATTGAAAAAAGTCATCGAAAGCATAATATAGATGTTGTTCAATATTAATGTCTACGAGTCACTAGATGACACGTGAGAGATTTGAATAGAAGTTGCTACGATTAGAAATTCTAAAAACTATATGACTTTTACAAAGCACGTCTTCGTAAAACTGATTGCTTAATCGATATATTAAGCGCATCAATTTTCTGCTGATTAAGTCAACGATTTCAACCGGTTAGTCGACAAAAACTCGACCAATTCCAAGTATGCTCATCGAAAAACATATTCACAGGAACAAATATTTTAATCGTTCGAAGTTTATGAGGTTTATTTTTGGCACAGATCGATAGGTAAAATGATACGAGAAAAGAAAGAAATGCTCGCTAAATGAATTTCGTAAGATGATCATTTATTTATTTTATAAAACAAGGACTATCAAGATGTTGACTTTATTCACCTTGATCGTTTTATTGCTGGAGTATTTTTATGACTTTCGATAAACACAAATGTCCTTCGGCATATAATATAGTAACTAAAAGTCATTGTATTTTAACGCTAAAACATTTTACCAGTAAATGATTACTAATTTCAAAATCATTATCAAACATCAATCCACCTTGATCTTCTAATCTTTAAATAATACTTTGAAAGAAATGATCATATCTTGGAAAAATTTTATTTCTTTATGCTTTTAAATATTTGATCAATATCATATGAAGTATTCATTTGAATACGTTTGCTTTTACAAATTTTATTAAACAAGTCTATGTCGAAACTACAATTCTATAAGGTGTACCTTTTCTTTTTGTATCATTTTATTCATCAATCAAAGATGGGATTGATTCATGCTTTCTTGAAATTGAATCGAATCAAAGCATACAATAAACTGATGAATGCATCAGAATATCAGTTTTAGATGGAGTAACTTCAGATTCGTTCTGAAACTGAAGTGATTTCATCTTTGATACGAGCGTTTGATAGAAAAGAACTAGAAATTTCAAAATAAAAAAAACTTCTCTTTCAGAATATATTTGTCTAACTAATGTACAAGTTGACATCATTTTCCGTTTTTCTTGTGTCATATGTGATAATACTCCAATTATTATCAGTGTTCACCAACGCCTAACGAATGAAAATTGTCACGATCTAAGAGTATTTCGATATATTTTGTGTTGATCTTTAATTCATTAGGAACTCGAAATAATATATTTTTTACTATTAGAGTATATTATCATATTATAGGTAGAGTATAATCAATATTTTGTTAATATATTACTTGTCTTTTTGTAGACATGAAAATCGCTTCTCATCAGAGTTTTCTTCTATACAAAACACCCAATAACTGACAAATCAAAGTGAAAACAGTTAGCAGCATTTGATTGGAAAAGACAGTAATCAAGATAGATGAAGCATCAACTGTTTCCTTTCTGAGAATAAATCAATTAGTAGCTGTATTATATATATATGAAATCACAAGCTGGAATAGGGAAAGAAAATGGTACTTTCTTATATATTTTGTCTTATGAATTAGAAATGTCGCTCTTTTGCTTTGGAATGAATTATGGCAACTAACGGTTTTTTGTCATGAAATACGGCACACCGATATTGTGAGAAAAAAAAGCAAATATTGAAGGAAAAAATACACGAGCAAAGTAAAGACATAAAGTAGTAGATACTTTAAAGAACTCTAATTCTGCGTGATAATAATATTTTATGCTTCTTCTACACTTGTCATTCAAATCTTTATTTGTCGAGACTTTTGCAACTAATAGTGTATTTTAATATCTTATAAAAAAAGGTTAACGAAATTTTTTCCTTGTAGTTATGCACCTGATAGGTAAAATAATGCTCTACATATCTCTGATGTTTTATCATTCTTCAATTAATATTATAATAAAATTTTGATAAGAGCTGTCTGTTATGATATGTGAGGGTAACATAAGCCATATTGTGTCTTCAATGTGTATCTTCTTTGTTCTTGTTCACTCGTTTTTTTTTCGTCTTCTCTAATGCCTAGCCGTCTATACACATTAAAGTATAAAAGAAGTGGTTTTTGTAGAGCAAAAAAAAGAAATATTGAAACAAATTCATAAAGTCTTTATATGAGTAAATGTTTAAAATAGTCGTCTTGGTTATTTACAATACAATTCCATTTATTGAATTCTTTTATCACACGTTCTTTATTCAAAGAATCCATAAACTTGTTTACAACGCGATGCAATGATTTGAAATTGTTTTGTATCGCTTAGATTTTGTTTGATAAACTCAACTAACCAACAATTACATGATACTAAATATACAGAATTACTTTCAAGTAAAGCCTTGACAAACTCGTTCCGATCATTCTTGTTTTTTTGAATTGTACCGACATCACTTTTTCTATACTCTAATATTTATAGACGGCTCAGCATACAAGGACATGAAGAACAAAGAGAGTATACATCAAAGATGAAGTGTAATCTAATATTATCATAATGTAGAGTATTAGTTTTGCTATCAAATTCTATAAAAAGAATATTTCTGTAAACTTTTAATATGAGATTCAAATAACTCTCCTATTACTTTTGGTGCATATTCAATAGTCTTTTAGAAGATTTGTTTTTCAACGTTCTGTTCATAACATATTCTCTGTGTACGCAGAGTTCATTATAAGGCTTCCTACGTTCTTTTTCTTTCTCTCGAAACAATAACTTTTACAATCATATAAATACCATATGAACGATTCCCGTATCATGAGATATGATACTAAAAGTTTATGAAGTGCAATGAAAACATTTTTTCGTTCTGTAAGTCAATAAAACTTGTCATTGATAAGTTCGATGAGACTTTGTCAATAAAGCGGGGTTCGACTAAATATAATTGAAAAATATGATTATTGACATAAGATTTGACAAAGTCAGACATGACTAGTATGTCATATTTTCTTTTGCATGATGAACATGCGAAAAATGGATAAAAGAATGAATGAAAAATACTAAAGACTCGGCATAAGAAAAAAATTGTTTTTTCAAATATGATTCAATTGATTTCTATCATATATTTAATTTATCATAATTTATTATTATTTGACTGATTATATATATATATATATAAATATTATTTACATTTGCATGAGTCGTTCCGCATCAGAGGGTATAGTTGATAATGAAGAAGTTGAAGTTCCACTAACACCAAGTCCAACATCTTCATCTTCTTCTTCTTCTGAACTAAACATTTTCGATGTTAAATCTGATATTTGATCAAGTTCAGGACCACTTTCATTATTATTATTATTAAAACATTGTTGATTACGTGCTGCTGTTGTTGTTGTCATATCATTTGTTTGAGGTACATTCAACGTTGGTAAACTATTATATAAAGTCATTCGTTTTCGTTGTTGATGAATAAGTGATGTAGATGATGAAGATGATGTTAATATTGATTCAGCATCATAAATCGTTGATGATGAACAAGGTGTATGTGTTGTTATATCAAATGTTGGACTTCGATTTTGTTGTAATTTTGAAAGAGCTGTTGCATCATTCAATACAGTAGGTGTAACAAAAAGAGATTTTGGTCGTAATTTATTTGTTACAGTAATTGGTGTTGCACGTGTTTGAGTTGTAGCTGGTGGTGGAGGTGCTGCTGCTTTATGAGGAGTTTCGAAGAAAAATGAAGATGAATTACTACCTGATGGAACAGTTTTTGTTGGAGTTATATGTGTTTGATGGTATGTACTATGAATAATAAAAGAAATGCATTATCTTTATTATTTTTGACTACAATCAAAAGTAAAAAGCTTTTAAAATCGTCGATTTCAAGTAGACAAAAAAAAAAAATTCTATTATAAGATCATGATATGTTTTAAATTAAACAAATACAAAAGTCTAATTACACTTGAAATAGAAGAAGTTTTCTATATATATATGAAAGTTCACATTATCTTCAAACATAATAGTTCTGAAGAACTAATACATACGAACAAATGAAACAAATAATTATTTGTTAAAATAGAAAAAAAACTGAATAGATTAGGATGAGAAAGAGCGATATTTATTAATATTGCCTTTGTATGTACTCTGATATACTATAATTTTAGTGAATAAATTCTTTTTTTATAACGCTTTGAAGTTACGTTCAAAAAAATTCGACGAAAATCTTTTTTTTTACCTTGACGGTATGCCGGAATATTGCTGATCAAGAATAATATGATTTAAAAATCGTTTAATTTTATCTTCCATTGATCTTTTATCAATATCATGTAAAAGATGTTGAGCTGATTGTTTCAAGTCACTAAAAGAAAAGAAGTTGTTGTTGTTTTTTTTTTCTGTTTATACATTAATTATTTTATGTCTTCAAATACTTGAATTGTTGTTTATATAATAATAGTTGTTGCTTTTGTTCTCCACAAGATAGTTCAAGTGAATAATTTCGATTAAATAATGTTGCAAGATCATCATAAATATGATATAATTTTTGTTTTAATAATAAAATTTCTTCACGAAGAAGAAAACGATTATCTGTTGAAATCCATCCAGTACGTTCAGCAAGTGAACGAAGATCCTTTTTTTTGCATAGAAAATATTTATCGATTTAAGAAAAAAACACAATATTTTATTTCGAAAAAATTTTTACTTGCTGAGTCCATCGTTGTATTAGACGAACTTTAGTTCGTTCTAAATTATCAAGTTTTTCTTGTAATACATCACATTTTATTTTTAATTCTTGATTTTGTAATAATAATTGAGAATATTGTATTTGATTTGTATCATTTTTTCTTATCATATGAACATCTACAGAGATATAAATTGATTAAAATATAATAAAATCTAAAAGTAACTAACATGGTTCATCATTACGACGAGTATCAAATTCATGTAAATGAACATTAGTTATTTGTAATTGTCTAAAAGCAAAATCAAAGAATTGAAACAAATTCTTTATTTAAAAATTTACTTTCGAAGTTCAAAAATTTCATTTCGCAAAGGTTCTAATGATAATTGAAATTGAATATCATCATTAGCATAGGCAAGTGCTGATGAAAGTGAATTTTCAAGTTCATTCCATAAATGATAATATTCTGGATCTAAATACATGAATTAAAGTCTTTTCTTTTTTTTTTTTTCTAAAGATAAAATAAGTTACCATTAACAGTATTCGTATTTTTTGTTCGAATTTGTTTTGAAATATTTCGAATACGTGTTACATGAGTTACAAATTGATCAATAATAGAACGTGTTTGTTGTTTATGCATAAAATTAGTTGATGGTAAATCTCCACACGATGAACTTCGTATGAATTCTTTTGGATTTTGAATACGACGACGACGTCGATTTGGTGATAATGGAGATTTTTGTCGAAATTTATTATTTATTAATGGAGAATTTTTTGTTGGAGATGTAATACGTTGATGAACAATTTGTGTTGAAGATGGAGAATGTGTTTGATGCTTACGAGATTTAGTTGGACTAGGACGATTTTTTAATAATGACTGATCCTTAAAACAGAATAAGATTCAATGAAGCCTTTCATTTCAACATAATGAAGTAAATGTAAGACATCATTAATATAGAAAAGCTAGTTTTCTCTTGATGTATTAATTCATTTAAGAAAGAATGCATCTTTTCTCTTTTTTTCTTTTATATATTTATGATCATCATAAAGCTTCTATATGACATTTTAAATGAAATATTTATTGTTAAGAAACAAACCTCAGTAGCTGCTGTGGATGATAATAAAGATTTAGTAGGAGAATATGATGATCGACGTTCTCCAATGTCAGTGCCACTATTTATAGCTGAAAAGAGGATTAAAATATTCTTTATTAGTCAGTGACATAACAAAGGTAAATTAAAATATACTTGTTTTAATAAAAGATGCTTTTGTAATAGTTGGTTTAATATTTTGTTTTTTTAGTCGTATGTTTGTTTGAGATTGTTGTTGTTGTTGTTGATTTTTTCGATTTATTTCACCGATAAGTGATGATTTCGAAGTTCGACGTAGTTCTTTATTTTATATGAAAACTTTTATTCTTATGCACAAAAAAAAAAAAAAGCGAAGATTTATTTCTCTTACCTTGAACACTAAGAATATTACGTAAGAGTTCGGCACATTTATCAAATTCTTTATTAGTTCGATAAACAAGTGTTCTTGACATAGACGATTTGACTAGAGAATCAGTTGGTACTGGTTGATGTTGTTGTATTACTACTGTGTCGTTCTGTCAGGAAATGAAAAAAAAAAGTAAAGAGAATAATCTCTATGTTTCCCTTTTAAGCTCACGGAAACCATCATTTCTATTTCCTGAGTTTCGAGCATAAATGGCGGTTTTAGTAAGTTATAATTATATTTGAAATTGATAAAGAACGACCGATAGAATAAAATGCATTTTAATTTTATATTATTATGGCATTGATCAAATAACGTGATTCATTATTAGAACGTCTATGCGTATGTTTGCTCCTCTTGGTTTATATAGACAGAAAAAGCAATCCTTCAAAATGCATTCGTTAACGGAAAAAAAAAATAGGTAAGTATAAAGAAGAAAAAATTGGAAGAAAATTTTAATGTTGCCTTGTGACACGTATCGGGAGTTGAGAAAACTATTACTAATTAGATGTCAAACTTTCTTATATTGTTCAATAAGAAATAAAATAAAAAAATGAAGAAGAAGAAGAAGAAGAAGCTTACCTTCATCATACGATGAATGACAAATAAAACAGCTGTTATTTCTCTTTTAGAATGACTGTTCTTTTTTTGCTTCACTGAGTAAGTGAACTGCCATCAGCAAAACTTGAATTTGTTGTTCTTACAATGATGATGATTTAGGATATATATGTGAGTATAGATGTTAAAGTGAATATATATATATGTGTCTATAAGAAAGGGAAAGAAATTCTAGTCAAAATGAAAAAACACGGCATTTTTTTTTTCTCTTCAGTCGTTGTCGATGTCGTCAAACATATGAAAGAAAGAATCGGTAGGAAGAAGTAGAAAAAAAAAGCCGAAAGGTGAGATGTGTATGGTAAGAGCAATATGTGTGTGAGCAAACGACTGTTGTTTATCATCTTTCTCCTTCTCTGTCGTTTACATCTAAAGACTAAAGATAAAAATCTGCTAGTTCAAGAGCAAATGCTTAAAATATGTATAAGAATATAGTTGTTTTATTTCTTTTTTTCATTAAAACATATACAAAAAAAGTAAAGTACAATGTCTACTACTTGACATTAATACAAATTTAAATCCAACATATAAAACAAAAAAAGAAATGTCATTATATTATTTTTATATTGTACTTTGAACAAATCACAAAAAAACCTCTCTCTCTCTCTCTCTCTTTTTATCGTGCTTTTTATTTAACAAACATCTAGAGGTTAGAAAAAAAATTCTATTTCTTCTTATCTAACAAATATCTAGGTTAACAAAATAACATGAAAAAAAAAAAGGTAATTGCACGTTCAGACAACAATTCAATTTTTTGCAAGGAAACTTATTATTGACACTTAGAGACCTTTTTTTTTCTTTGCATATCACATATTTCTAAACTTAGAAAAATCATTAAAAATAGAATCTCAAAAAAGTATGTCTAATTATTTCTTTTTGTAAGTGTGAGTTGTCGATTGTTGTTATAGTAACATTAAAAAAAAAAACAAAGTAAAAATAGTCTTTTTAATCTACATATTTAAAAATGTAACAAACATTTTTAAAATCAAACGTTCACTCACATGAAAAGAATATTTTTTTTTTTTCAAATCATTTTACAACATGCTATGAAATATTTCGTTAAAAAATTATATCTATTGACCTTTCGTTTTTTATTTTATGTCTATCAATCTTATGGATATTGATATATTTCAGACAAATAAGAGAAGAAAAAAAAAAACTGGGATTGCTTTTTGTTGATTCTTTATATATAAAATGAGCTTAAAACTATAAATATGATAAAGAATCAGAAGAATTTGGCAACGGTATTTTTTTTTTTTTTACGTATGTTTATAAATCAATTATTAAATAAAAAAGAAAAGAATTTAAATTAAAGAAAGAAGTTGGAAATTATTATTTTTTATTTTTCGTAGTATTTTATGGCATATTTACAGAACGATGTAAGTTTTATATCAACTTAAAGATAAAATAGTTGATTATAAATTCTTATATTTGAAAAGGTTTATTCAATATTTATTTATTGTCTCGTTTGGATATTATTTAAAAATTATTTGTAAACAAAATCATTTCTCTAATTAAAAAAAACCTTTTCTCAGTTTTTAAAGAATAATAAATAAATAAAGATTCCACAAAAGTTTTATATGACTGTAAAAACTCGTCAATATCAAAATTGAAATTAATAAATCATTCTTTTGAATTTATCTTTTTTTTTACACATTATTTGAACTATAGTAAAAAAACGGTAATTTTTACACTTCAGTTGAAATTTTCTTCGATATAAATGATAATTTTAGATATATTTAATTGTCATTTTCGTCTTCAACTACACATGCTTGAGACATTATTGTCGAAATTTTATTTTAAAGTGGTTTATTTTTTTGTTGTTGCATTATTTATTTTTATTATAGTTTCTAAGTAACAATTGAAATGCTTTTAATATTTAATTTACGAGTAAACAAGTGGCATTAAAAAGAAAGAAAAAAATAAAAAATGCAAGAAAATAAGAAAAATATGACCTTCATTCTTCATCTCATATATACTGTTACATTATGCAGACAAACACAATTCTTGGTAATTTCAGTTGCTATTTCAATAAAAGCTTCTTTCAAAGCATGTAAAAGAAAACTACTAATTGCAATAATTCAATTTTTTATATTATTTTCATTTATGTAATTTAACTAATACAATGACAAAAATAATACGAACAATAAATATATTTCAACTATTGAATAGAAATTCTGAAAATAATATTTCAAAACATATGGTATTTTTTTTAAAAATTTTATTATCGAATGAAGAGAAACATTGAACGATGTCAACAATTAGTCGCCTACTTGATAGAAGCATCGTTCTTATTTCACTTTTCACAAACTTCAATTTACAGATATCTGATTCAGTCACATGAAGATCCAGTGGCATGTGAAAGGTAAAGATTTACCACATGGAACAAATTTGTAGATGATCTTGCTGTTAAACACTAATGAGATGTTGACATTCACATTTTGAATTCATTCAAATGTTACAACAAGACGAAATACTAAATATATAGTCGTAAAGTGAAAACCACAGCAGACAGAAGCTCCAAAATAAGGGGAAATTATTTAGAAATATGTGAAGCTTTTTAAAGTGGCTACCTACTTATACTCGTATAAGGCTTTATGCTCAATTAGAAGAGTTCATTAAACATTTTTATTTATACTCATATATAATGTTTCTGAACCTTGAATAGATTGTTAGTTATTTTCTGGATTATTTCTTGATTTTCAGCATTGTAATCAGTTGTTCAAAAAGTTCTCATTCAAGTTTTATTTCATTTACAGGTAGTTCTTCAATGAAGATATCTGAATACATTATTTCATCAAAAACTTACAAAACATATTTTATAAAGTTTTATTTGAAATGATTTTAAAGATATTGTTTCTAATAATTTGTTTATTGACTATTGGTTTAAAAATGAAAGTGATGTCGTTTGAGAAGAAAAAAAAAAGTTCTCTGATGTGACTGTCTACTAACATTTGAAATCAAACTTCATACTTATCATTACTATTTAGACAACTTTTTTCGTACAGTCATTGAATATATATTGTAATATTCTTTGTCTCGTACAATAGCAACCTTCGGATGTTCTATTGTGTGTCAATTTCTTTTTATAAATGTCAATTTAATGGGTTTTAAACGAATCAATCTTGAGAATTCAAGTTGAGACTTTTGCAACTCAAAATCTTAAAAATGACACATTTTGATGTATATATATCCTAATGAAAGTTGTAATTTGGTGCGAAACTAAATAATTAATTAAAGTCATCTGCTCTTATGTCTAGCGCCTGGTGGCTCTCTTGAAGAATCTTCTATTACTAGTATTTTATTGTTGGAAGGAAAGAAAAGAGTTTATTATTAGAAATAGCTTTCATTAACAATGTTCTGTCACAGTTTCCAGGCAGACAAGAATTTCTGAAGTCTCATTTAAACACTCCAATTATAGTTTTTATTTGAGCGTTTTCATGCCTATTCAGAAAAACACCAATATCGGATACTTTCATCGTGAAAGATGTGTGAAGAGGAATGCGGGTGAAAATTTTCTTATGCAATATTTAGACGTGTTTTTCAGATGAATACGGCTTTTTATGCATAATGTATATCAAGTCATCTTCTTAAACGTCTTGAGGCATGTTTTTATGATGTAAGTAGTTGATTTTAGTGCTTTTTTTTGAATGGGCGTGAAAACGCTCAAACAGAAATTATGATTACGGTGTTTAAACACGTATTCAGAAACCCTTGCCTGCTTTGGTTCCATGTATTGTTGTTTCAGATATGGAACGAGCTTACGAAATAGATTGAACATTTTTATCGCAGTACACTTTCATATAAATTATGAAATCCATTGACTTTTCGTTTTTAGTGATTGTTTTAGATATGTCATAATGACGTCTACTTTCGACCTTAGCAATTTGACAAAATCCTTTCAAACTAGGTCTAATGCATCAGCTGAGGGAAGAATAGTTGACATTCTGGTTACTGTGAGAAACTATTCAAAGATTTATTCAGTGGCTCGTTTTAATGACATTTATTGATTATCAACTAAAATATTAGCAGTGACACTATGCTCGGAAGAAAGTACCTTTTTTTCTGATCAAATATGCATCAACATTAAATCATATTTTGAACATGAAGAACATGATCATGGTCTCCTTTCGTTCCAGTAAATTGATGATGTCCAACGGGTACATAAAAGACAAGAGCTAGGAGTTCAGAGAAATATACAAATGAACTTTTTACAGACTATGTTAAATTGTTTTTTTTGGTCTGAAGTTTTGATTATTAGAGCTCTGTTCAAAAGAATCTGCAACAAGCAAAAACATAAAGTACATTCGAAGACATTTTTCTTGTCAGCGTATTATCTTTTATCTATCGTATTTTCGATCATCTGTACAAACATTTGTGCACATATAAGTTATCCAGAAATACGATCTTATCACTAGCACTGTAATCTATTGTGTGATCGTTCTCTGTATTTCTTTATTCATTGCGATTTTATCTCATTCTCTAATATCGTCCTCTCTCATCCTATCTTCTCTATATAGATCAACTTTGTGTTATCGTAAAGAAAAGCATAGAATAATAAATCCTACGAAAAGAATGTATTAACCGCATAAAATTCTTATAAAATTTTCACAAACCCGTTTTATGACGTAGATGTGGGCGGGATAGGAAGGTAAACGCTTACATACACTCAACTACACTCTAAACCAACATCCATACTTAGTTACATTCACACCTCGCTTTACAAGATCAGCAAAGTAATCTTTTTCCGATGACATTAGCTGGTTATATAATCCAGTCAGTACACAGCCTTTTCTCTTTGTCATTTTTGTGAGATATTAATGCGAGTGGGAAACATCGGACTTCAAGCACAAAGACTTCAACGTTTTCGAAGACTTCTAAACATTTCTAAAGACTTCAAGGAACTTCAAGAGACTTCAGTCGTGAAGTCTCAATTGTTTTTCTCTCGTATTAATGTAGTGTTTTGTCGCTCCTCTTTTTTTTATATTATATGAGAAGAAATCAACTAGAACATACTTCGAATCCAATGTTCCTTGCAAAATCAATGTTTTTATTGGAGAGATTCCTCTAAAAATCAGAAGAAAAAATTAATTGACATTATGAAGTAGCTGATATGACAGCTAGAAAAATTTTTGCACTATTCTTCAGTAGACTGATTAGTTTTTGTTTTTATTTTTATTGAGAAAGATTAAGATTTTATCGTACGAGGTTCAAATATTTCATCGAATGTTTGTAAATCAGGTATACCAACAATATTAAAGATTTTTGTTAATTAACCAATATGATCAGTTCCAATAAAGAAAGAGGTTGAAGGAGAATTAATTCAGCTGTTATACAACCAACAGATCATATATCAACGTTTTTTTGATGACGTTCCCAATTAAGAAAAACTTTTAATTCACTTTTTTATCTCTGAAATCTTTTGTCATTTTATACTTAATCAGTTCATTAGTTGTCGTGTACTTAAATTGATAAATTATTTTTCAATATAAGCAATAGAACACCTCCAGGGTCTTCTGCTCACTACAAACAATTATTTAATGAAATGAAGAAATAATCAACGAATTTAATTATGCATTCGTATATTATTAAATTCTCAATAATATATCTTTATTTTTCGCTGACAAATACAAAAAGGTTTCTGACAATAGCTCTTTAGTATAAAGTGGAAGCATGATGTCTTTTTGAAGGTCAAAACAATGATATAATTCAATATCAGAGATGAACTAAAGATAAGATAAGATCACAAAATTAGTTCTACAATCTTGTGTGTTTCACATTGAACCACATGAGTCGATGCAATAGTAAATGAACGAATCACTAGAGACTGATCAATTCAGTCGAACCAAAATCGAAAAATGAAAATAAATGTATACACTCAATTGATATTTAAATTAGCAAACTAACAAAACTAAATTGAATTTTCTTACTTTTTGCGCATAGCAGTTATTTCTTCATGTGGTCAATAGATACTGTCTCTAGTGGACTTTGCTGAACGAGAAAGGACAACTAAGAAGACGTTTGACAATTTGATCAAAGCAAGGAACAATAAAAAAAATATATATAGCAAGTATTCGATTTGTTTTACTTGGTGTCGTTCATTTACTATCAAATATTCATTTTCTAAAGACAAATTTCAGTTATTCGTTGCTCCAAAAGATAAAAAAAAATT